TGGCTTTTCCAGCAAGCCAGCCTGGCCTGAACAAAACAAAACAAATTATTGATTACTGTTCATTTTAATTCGAATTTTTTTACGAAAAATGTTATTGTCAATTCTAATTAGGATTGTTTGGGATATTCTATTTTTTTTTTAACTTTTGTATTATGTGTTTCTTTTAATGTTGTATGCTGCCCTGAGTCCTTGGGAGAAGGGCCGCATATAAATCAACTAAACCAAACGAAACCAAACTTGAAAGACCGTTTCATTTCTGTTACCAGGACACGGAGGAGGGAACTTCAGCAGCCCAGTTGGCATAGGGATACCTCAACAAATATTTACAGCATTCTTCGAATGGTTGACGAGCTTCACATACATTTATGATAAGTAGAATAATGCGGAGTTTGTGCATGCTGGCTTCTACATGCTCCTTTAAGGAAACCAGAAAATCAAATCCAGCTAATGGGTCCAGTGTCTTTTTGCAACACACCCATATATCAATTTCCACCTTGACCAGGGAAGTCTTCTAAGAACAGGAAGAATAAGAAGTTGTAAATGTTAAATTCTTCCAGTGAGCATAATTCTTAGACATGTCTACTCTGTCAATCTCACCTGGTTTTATTAGAAGTTTCAACTCTTGGTTCTTTCAAAGGAACCTTGAAATGTGTCTATGGAATTTGTCAGTCATCCAGGTCATAGTTGTCTCAAAGGTGCTTTTTCAAAAGGCCCATGGACTGTTTTTTGTTTTTTTTAATTTGAGAGAGAAGAAGAAAAAGACATTTTGTTCCTCATCCAAGAAGCTTCATCAGTTACAACAGAGGTACAACTGATGAAGCTTCTTGGATGAGAAATGAAGCATCTTCTTCTTCCTCAAATAAAAAGCAATTCAATTGCCTTTTGGGGGAAAAAATACCTTTGAGATGACCTTAAAAAGCATTTCAATGATGATTCATCCAGATAGATCTGTCTGGAGGTTAAGTGATGGCAACTGGACTTTCTTCTTAGGCTTGAAATGCTTTGGTGTTTCTTCAAGTCAGATCAGCAACAAAATGATTCAAACAAACAAAAAATGAAAAGTCCAGTTGCTGTGACTCAACTTCCACACTCGAAAAGTATCATTTAGTAAGGGACAAAGTATCACTTCAGCATTAGTACTCCTTGGTTGATTCACAGGAAATTTTATTAAAAGGAGACTTCAGAATTGTATTTGTAATTGGCATTGCTGGGGGAGGATTTATTTTCCCTGTTTGGCTAGAGTTCTATTCATCATCATATCCATATATGAAAAAAATGGGGTGGGTGGGTGGATGGATGGGCAGGACCAGTGGTGGGATTCAGTCAGTTCGCACCTATTCAGGAGAATGGGTTGTTAACTTTCTAAGCAGTTTGGAGAACTGGTTGTTGGAAGAAATCTCATTTTGTTTCCCCCCCCCCCACTTTACAGGGCTAATCCTGTAAGGACGGCAGGAAGGAAATATTCTGGTGTTGTTTTTAGCCTCATCTTGATTGCCCTGCTTACAGAAACTGCCTCTCCGATTAACCCTTATGACATTGCAACAGCTAAGGCACAGCAGCCATCAACATGAGTGATTTTGAGTTGGCCATGCCCACCTGGTCACATGATCACCAAGCCTCCACCTACCCAGCTGGTCATTAGGGCAGAGAACCGGCTGTTAAATTATTTGAATCCCACCACTGAGCAGGAAATATTTCTCCAAAGAACCTCTAAAAGGATTTGGAATTAGTAGTCCCTAACTAATAGTGAAGGGCTGGAAATAGATGTTCAGATTTTTTTTTTAGTTTCTTTTAAAAAGAAAGCACATCTTCTAAGAAAGGAACATTTTGGGTTGTTTGTTTTTTTTTGAGTGATGTGCTTACTTGTTTACGTATATTCAAAATATAATAGAAATTTCAAGAATTATGTTCTGGGAGTCTGTCCTCAGTAGTCTTTTTAAATGATAGAGTCAAAGGGCTGGGAGGGACCTTGGAGGTCTTTGAATCCAACCCAGGGTGAAATTCAGCAGGTTCTGACAGGTTCTGGAGAACCGGTAGCAGAAATTTTGAGTAGTTCTGAGAACCGGCAAATACCACCTCTGGCTGGCCCCAGAGTGGGGAGGGAATGGAGATTTTGCAGTATCTTTCACCTGCAATGCCTACCAAGCCACGCCCACAGAACCAGTAATAAAAAAAATTGAATTTCACCACTGGTCCAACTCCATGTGTAAGGCAGGCATTCTTATATCAACCTGGACAAATGTTGTCCAGTGTTTTCTTGAAAACTTCCAATGATGGAACATTGAGAGGCAAGCAGTTCCATTGATTAATTGAGAGTGGTAATTAATTCAATGACTTTTTTTTTAGCTTTAACCCATCTGATCAAGGGAGTTGATCAGTGGGGCAGTTCCCAAAATTATTTTTATTTTGTGGGTGGGGAAGAGAAAAAGGAAGTGGTCAGAATCTTGAAGACTTTTGATCCTTGAAAGGGATATTTCTCCAAAAGGAGATCTCAAGTTGGATATTGGAGCTTTCAACTGCTGATCAGACATAACACGATGGACGAAAAGGAGACCAACCTCAGATGGTACCTTCTCTGGACAAACCCCACCCCCCACCAGCAGGAAGTGGTACAGTCCTCCATGCAAATCGAACAGGGGAACAGGCAACGTGAATCAAAGGTGGGGGAGGGGAGTTGCAATAAAGGGAGGCAGAGCAGATGTGACATACAGCAAGACAATACTGACCTTGGAACAAGGTTGAGCTTGTGGGCTCACTTATTTCTAAACCAGGTAAGGAAACAATGGAAGAGAAAAAAAATGAAGATAAAAAAGGAAAATAAATATATCGCTTCATAATTAGCACCCCACGAAACAGATTGTGTAAAGAAGAAATGGAATGGAAGAGGAGGGGGATGAGTAGATGGGCCGGGAGAGAAGACGGACTCTGAAATGGATGGGAAAGTAAAATAAATGAATAAATAAGACCCAGTGCTGTTGGAAAGTGAAGCATAGAAAGTAGGAAGAGAAACGATGACTCCATGAAATGTAATTCATAATAATGCCAGCCTTGCAAAAAAGTTGCTCTAACTCTAACCCTTAGGAGGACCACAAATAAAATGTTCTTGGATTTCTTGATGTTATCCATCGAGGTTTGTTGGGTATTTGGAAGAAGATCTATACAGATCTGATGAACTTCTCAGCCCTGTGAGAAGGAGCTAACTTTAGAAGAAAATTATCCATTGGAAGCATCTCCAAAGATAAAAGTGGTTCTTTTCCCCTTCTCCCTCCAAGAAACAAAAAGCTGAATAGAAGATTCGTTATTTAAAATTTCTGATGGCCATTGTTATTTCCATTTATTGCTTCCTGAGCCTGCCTCCTCAATGTTCCTTATTTCCACCGATATGAGAAATGGCACAACAAAACCAAAGAGTTTCAAACAAGAGCCGAGGTGGTGCAGTGGTTGANTGAGCCAACATTTTGGTTGCTAAGCAAGAGCGTTGTTAAGTGAGTTTCACCACATTTTACAAGTTGGCCATGCCCATCCAGTCACATGGCCGGCAAGCCACTCCCACCCAGTTACATGGCCAGCAAGCCACTCCCACAAAGCAGGCCACACCTACAGAAGAGGTTCTAAAAAATTTTGAAACCCACCACTGGGGGAGTCCCTGAGCAGTTAGGGAGTTGGCTTTGCAAGAAAGTGCGAGCGGGATCCTGGCTTGATTACCAGTTATGGGACATTCCCCTGATATGATAGCTAAACTGAAGGAAAATGCAGGAGCAGCAGCAAGGGGTTGGTAGGGGATTCAAGGCCAGGACTTGGGAAAGTTGCAGGTGGTAACTACTAACCTTTCCAGCGTGTCTGTGCTGATGCTGTATCTTCTACAAAATTAAAGAACAAATTGTCAAGAAGGCTAAAGGAAAGTGGAACAGAAGTTGTCTCCAGAAAGTGTGCTCATTCCATCACTGGAGGTTTTTAAGAAGAGACTAGACAGTCACTTGTCTGAAATGATATAGGTTATCTTGCTTCAGCAACGAGCTGGACTAGAAGACCTTCAAGGTCCCTTCCAGCTCTATTCTGACTGATTGTATGAGTTCTCCCAATGGCACTGGGCTCTCAAACCTGGGCTCTGTTGTAGCCTGCCAGCAGACTCAGATGATGAGGAGGTTGGGGAAGAACTTGGGCCAGTTCTGAAGTCTGGGGAAGGCTCTGATGGATGCTCAGTGTCGGACGCAGAGAGAGAGAGAGAGAGGGCCATCTGACATTTCCCAGCCACCGGAGAGGCAGCTGGCTTTTGAGGCTGAGATGAGTGAGGAGGAAGAACAGCTGGGGCCTATTCCAGATGCACGTATGTGCAGAGCTGTTAGGAGAGGTGAACAACAGAGGACAAGGAGTTGACTTGGGAAGCAAAGCACACTTGGATGCTGAATGGACCTTCCCTGGCTGGGGAATAAATAGAAGGAAAGGGGAGTAACTTTCGTAGGAGACAACAGTTCGTATTTCTGAAGATTTTACTCATTATGTTTCGTGCCACAAAGACTGCTTGTCAGAACTTAATGTGTAGCATTTCCACTGGGAGCTCACAGCCTTGCAGTTATCGCAAGGATAAGGTCTGTTACTGGAGTTAACTCCTTGAAGGACTCTTGCCTGGACTTTTCAGTGTGTGAATGCCATTAATTCACAAGAGGTAAATAAAGAGAGGTTGTTCGTGAAAAGGAGTCTGTTTCTTGCTTCTGCTATGGCTGGGTCAGAACAGGCTGCCTGCTTTCCAGCTGACAAGCCCAATGTCTTAACCACTGAGCCACGGCACCCCTCTCCTTTGCTGAGTAGTGGAAAGAAAAGTCATTCTAGGATTTCTGCTCACCAACTGCTGGGAGAAGGATTCCCGGAGAATAATCCAAAACAAATATAAAGCTAAATATAAAGTATAAACCTGAACAAACAAGAGAAATTGTATACATGAATGCAGATCTATCATGAAAGCCTCCTAAAATAACTCCACTTAATCCTTGTCACGGATGGGCTTTTGCTATTGATGATTACTTACTGTCCTAATTATCCTTCTATGATGATAAGAGCTTAGTGCAATTCTATGTTTGCTAATAAGGTGATGTGATCATTATTGTGAGACTTGCAGACAGCAATCAGACAAACATTTGTCGTTGTTGTTGTCTTGAATGGCAACACCTTTGTTTAAACGGTTCAGGGCTGGGAATAGGAAAGGTCTCCAAAAGGAATAGAAAAATCTGCCTTTCAACTAGGAAGGTGATGGTGGTGGTGGAGGAGGAATTTCAGAGCAGGTTGTGAAAAGAATCTCAAAAAGCCTGCCACTCACTTGCCTTAATAAGATGCTATTTATTTATTCCAGAGAAGCGTTTTTAAAAAGAAATGATTTTGGTGAGAATGCCAGTGGAACTTCTTCCTAAAAAGACAGATTTGCCATATTACTACTATCAAGTTCCATGTGTAATGGGCATGCACCATTAACCTTGGAAAAGGAAGGCTGATATCCATTGCATTTCACTCAAAATATATCCATGCTTCGCACCCAATCGCTCGAGGTGACAAACAAAATCACTTTATACGCTGTGCTAACATTCACTGGGTTCCATCCACCCTGGCAGTTAAACAAGTTTATTTCCTGCCAGGAATAAACATGAGGGAAAATAAGAGAGTTGGAATTTGTAAGGCAAAGAAGTACAAAGCTAAGCTCTGCAAGCAAATTTGAGCAACAGATGTGAAACCCTGGACCTCTAGTTTCCATTAAGAACAGTCATCTCTGCTATCCTTCATCAAGTCTCACTATTGTGGCCCACCAGCAGCCAGTGGAGTTGGCAACAGATTTGGACAGTGAGAAGGTTGGGGAGGAACATGGGTCAGTCCTGGAGTCTAGGGAAGGCTCTGATGAGGGCTCTGTGTCACAGGTAGAGATGGGGCCAGGGTTGTCTGACAGTTATCACCTGCCTTGGGAATCAGACATCAGTGAGGCAGATGAACAGGTGGAGCCTGTTCCCACTATGCGCATGCACAGTGTTGCCAGACGAAGGGAACAGCTAAAGAACAAGGGTCAACTTGGGAGTAAAGCCACAGGTGGATGATGAATGGCCCCTCCCAGAGGAAATAAAAGAGGAGCAAAAGGGGAGTGGAGTTTGCAGGAGACAATTAGTTCGCTTAATTGGTTCGTGACTCTCTGAGACTCCTTGCCAAGTTCTGCAGATATCGGCCTGTCAGCTCTCCAAGCCAGATAAGGTGTGTAACCATAAATCCACCTTTGAAAGACTTTGCCGACTGTGAATGAGCAGAATTCATAATAAATTAGTAAAAGGGGTTTTTGACGGGACAAGGAGTTTGTTTCATTCCTCTCTTGGGAAGCCTCGGTTAGAACACTCACCGATTAACTTAAAATATGTCAAATGTCTCTCAGTCTTGTACCTATTTTTCCTCCATTGCTTCTGTTTCTTTAACAATCAGCCGAGAGAACTTTATGTTGAAACCGATTGTACAAAATAGCAAAAAAACCAATCCTGCTCACCACTTTCAGGTGAACGAGATGGGGTCACACCAGTGCGCATTCTGCCCTTCTTTTTATAGTATGATTAGTGTTATTATATTTGAAAAGCTTTTTAAAACACTTATCTTCCAGGAGAACTCTGATTATTAAATGTGATGAATGAATGGTGGAGGGAAAGAAATTCCAAATTAAATGAGAATTGGTTGCAGGTATGTAAACCTATCAGTTTCTGGTCATTTGGCTCTGGGGAATATACTTACCCTGGGATACTATCTGGTGATCAAAATAATTCTCCAGGGCCCTTCCTGTTCTATATTTGATTCCACTCGCATTGTGGTTTAGCTTGTAGATTTATGGAACCGATCACAGAAACCGTGCCTACACACTTTGCATCCTTAGCTCTATTATGATTTAGATGTATTTAGAAATTGCTTTTCTATCCACCAGGGAACACAAGCGGATGCATAATTTATTAAGAAAAACGCAATAATACAACGGTAATCCAATAAAGGCAAATATCGAGCCATTGTTTAAAAACACAACAAAATAATGTTGAAGTTCATTGCGGCTATCAACATTTAGAGTTTTCTAATGGTTGACGGGACAGATCCCCCTGTGGATTAAGTCACTACGCAAACTGACTTCTTTTAAGATTTGGAGATCTTAAAAGCTTCATTTATACAATGAATCAAATGCGTTGATAAAAACAGGATCGCCAACATGATACCCAATGTCCAATGCCGGATAAGGCAGAGGAAGGAGGAGGAGGAAGAGGAGGAGGAGGAGGAGGAGGAGAGCTTCATGCTAGGATTTCATCAACATACTGTACATTCAAATTCAATACTCAACAACATGCTTCTCACAAATATTTCACCACATATGGAAACAGCTAAAAATTGGGGATTACAAAATCTGACCCTCTTTCTACATTATCCATATTTCATACAGGACCATATTAAAATCTGAACAGGAAGACACATTTTAAAGTAGAGTTGAATGGCTGTTGAAAATATATTTAAATACAGTGAGGAGGGACTTTCGACACTGTAAATAGAATATCTCCTATTATCCTTTTAAAGCAGCTAAAAGTGGGTTCGGGACATTCTGTCTTTTGGGAAGGATACTTTTTTTGGGGGGGTGGCCTACCTAATCTTCTGGAGTGATGGGAATCAACTGTACAATTACAGGTAGTCCTTGACTTACAATAGTTCATGTAGTGACCGTTCAAAGTTACAACGGCTCTGAAAAACCTGTGGCCATTTTTCACAGTTA